CAGCCTCTGGAATTTGAAGCATCCAAACTGAGAGGTATCAGTCACGGCCTTGAGTTTGTCTCCTCGCTTTTTTTTGAAAGGGGACGGGGACAGATCGTTACCTTCACAACTTACAGCCCTGGCCAGCAGGCTGCCTGAGGCGGCCTTGGGCAGGATCTGACCCTGGGGTGGGGGAAGCTACCTGGTCTTTCTCTCAGAGACATCCCAGACAGCGTGGAAGTTTCTACGGGGCGCTGGCACGTTTCAGGAAGAGGGTGGGCTCAAAGGACTGGAAGCCACAGCCCCGACTGGCGGGCTCCTGGTACCTGTCTGGTGAGGCTGCCTCCGAGGTTCATTGTGCCGGAGCCAGTCTTGTTTGTCTGCAGCCACAGCATCACTGTAGAGGTCAGCTTGTAGTGGGCAGTACGGCCACTGGATTTCTCCTGGAGGAGAGAAAGGCTGCGTGAAGATCAGCAGGACACACCGTTGCCCGGGCCTTGGGCCTCCCGCCGAGCGTCCCAAAGGGCCAGTTCCTCTGCCTGGCTCACACCTGACCCCACCAAGCCAGAGAGACGGCGAGTGGAACCCCTTCACCCTCTGCCTGGGGAGGAACAGATGCAGGGACCCCTTCTTCTACTCTCTCCCTCCCTCTCCCTTCCACCATGGGAGGTTTTTGCAACAGCTCTTCCTTTTGCTGAAGGCCCCTTTTCCCCCCAAAGTCCCAAATTAAGGGGGTGCCGTTTTGGACAGGGGGGCACAGAATTAAGTCCGCCAGCCTTCCACAATGTCACACGGTTTGGCTGAGCACCTGTGCTGGCCATTTGCCTAGAACTGAACCGGGCTTGCCTCTCTTCTCCCCCTTTGCTCAGGGACCACCGCCTGCCTCCCGAGCGGGCGAGTGAGAGAGAGAGACCAGGCTCTACCTGAACTTCTACCACGTGGATGGAATCCCAGCAGCCTTTGATCTTCTTTGATCCGTCGCCAGCTTTCTTAATTAGAATCACCCCGGCAAAGCCATGATCCAGATCCCAGAGGTAGACCGAGGAAACGCCCCCTTCAAAATACCTGCAGCCAAAACAGAGACACAGATTGACCCCCTGCCAGCCCGGGCCGAGGCAGCCTCTCAGAACCAGGCCTCCCGACGCACCTGCAAGGGTTAGGTCAGACCAAGGGCACAGCAGACTGTGTGAGGTGACGCTGCAGGAGCCCAGAAAGCGATACTGGATGAAGAGCTTGGCCTCCCGAACGTCTCTATTCTCCTTACTGAAAGCAAGTTTCTAGTCCTTCTGGCACTCCTCCTTTGACGTCCTACCATCTACTATTGAGCCAAGATGCCCATTCTTAGGAATGGTTGCCTTCACAATTTTAAGTGTGCCTTCTTCTCTAAGGATTTTGGTGTAGAATAGAACAGAGGTTCGCCTTCTGGATGCAGCTGAGGCGCTCAACTGAGCTGTTCAGCTGCTCCAGGTGCTACAATGGACTGGCTCTAAGATTTCCTTCCACGCCACCGACCCTTCCTTGCAATCTTCCTTGCTTTCCCACGCGCTATTGCTGTGGGTCTGCCTATGGCCAGAAAAGCGACATAAAAACACCACAACGGCACACTGAAGTGAGACCACTGGTCTCACTCTCCTCTCTATGTCAGAGTTGGGCCTCAATCCCCATCCGCCCTAGCTGGCATGGCCAGTGGCAAGGAATTGTGGGAGCTGTAGTTCGAAACATCAGAAAGAAATCTGTTCCCTTATCCCTGGTCTTCAGTGACCAGAAATGGCTTCTCAGAGGGCGCCGGGCCCTCTCCAGCCTGAACACGGGCAATCAAATCTTGGACCTTTCGCACGCAGAGGGAAAGGAGAGGTATTACCTTCCACTCAAGCTTTTTCCGTTTCCAAAGCAATTGAGTTTTCTGTTCTAATTCAGAAAAGAACACGCACCACATCCAAAAGCTAATACTTCTCCCCTCCAATTATACATTTCACCAGCTGGCCAAGGGGATGAAACTTCAATCAGAGGGAAGGGGGTGAGCATCACATTCCCACCCTGTCCCCCAACTTCGGTACTCTAGTCTGAACAACCTGAAACGAGCCAAGCGGGGAGGAGTTCGGATTTTTATACGCTTCCCATTTATGAGATTTTACCTAAAGGCTTTTGGGGGTATATTTTAAGAATGTGTTAAAGGTTGTCCGAGACCACAGAAAGCCACCTGGGGAAGGTTCTTGCCAGAACAAGCAAGCGCACACATGGAAACACTCGGGATGGCCTTTGTACCTCGAATGACTCAAATCTAGGATTAATATTATTTTAAATACGAACGTGCTGTTTCCAACTGGCCTGGGGCTGGCGCTGGCCATGGCCTCACGCACCCGGGGGACCCAGGCGGCCAGGAAAAACAGCCCTGTTGCCATCCTGCGGTTCCTAGCCTCGGCGCTGGCTGTTGGAGGGCTTCTTCCCTCCCGCCAAAGGCTCGCCAGCTCTCCGCACAGGTCTGCAAGGTGTCCGGGGGGGAGGCAAAACTGGGTAAAGGAGAGGCTTGCAAAGGGAAGAACCAAGCCAGCCGGAAAGATCAACACAGGAGGCTTTTGCCGGGGGGAGGGTGTGAGAGCCCAGAAGGGAAAGTGTGGGGGGGGGGCTCCTTTTCGTTCACACTCTTTCTCACTGTAGCTTAAGCAAATCCACTCCAAACAGGGCCTATGGTTCTGGGCAGGTATTTGACAAATTCTTCCCGGCACGCATACAGGTGCAAGCCGCCCTTGGGCAAACATACCGATCCAGTGAGATCTGCGGGGCCACTATGCCAGGTAAGTTTCCAGAATGCACATCTGGCTGGCAGCTGGGCAGCGGCCGACCCCGGGAGAACAAAGGGCGGATTCAGATGCCACACGGTGGGAGCCCCTCTGCCCACCTCCTCCTGGAATACCCGAAGCCAGCCAAGCGGTTATGAGGCAGGAAGCTGGTCAGAGGCCTCCAAAGGGGTCTCCTTGCAGCCAGGGTGGGTCAGGTCAAGCCTTGGGGCCACAGGAGCAACAAGACCCATGGCTGCTTCGTATGGGGAGCTGTGGCGACAAACCCGTGGCCTATTCTTGCATCCCACAAGTTGGGGGAGGGGGGGAGGCACTGGATTGTCCTAAGGGCTTAGGAGCCTCGAGCCAAGGGCCATGAAGCCACTTTACAGGCATGGCTGGGCATCCCAGGTTTACCACACCGACTTCCAGTCTGGAAACAGATGGCCAAGGGCTTATCAGAAACGGGACAACCACAGGGCCAGGAGGAAGAGCCCCAGACTGCCAGGAGGGCAAGGGGCTGTGTAAATTCAGAACCAAACTCGACAAAAGGTTTGATGGCCGTGCCAAAGCATAGGAGTGGGGAACCCATGGCCCTCCATTCCTTTGGGAACTCCAATTTCCAGCAGCCCCAGCCAGCACAGAAAATGGGAGCTGTCCAAACTTCTACTGGGGAACTGGGGCAACCTCTGCCTCGTTCCCTCACCCTCAGCTGTATTACTGTCTCTGACCGGCCAACTTCCTGCTCCTGCAACGCCTCCAGCATTAAACAATTCGGGATGACCGTAACTGGGGTCTCCAAAGGAACCTTCCAGAATCTGCTTCCACTTCTTTCCTGAATCAGGCAGGGTTAGGCACTCGTTGCAGGTCCTACCCATCTGAGCCCAAAGGACATTTTGCTGAACTGACACATGCTCGCAAACTTTGCTAATTTTTTGCTGAATGAACAAAGGCTGATTAAGACCAGGGGAATGTCCAGGATGGTCTCACAGCACGCTAAATGGGGAACTAATTAAAAACAGGGCCTTTCGAACAGGAAAAGGCAGCCGTGCTTTATGACGAAAGCCCGTTTTTACCACACTGTCCAGCCAAAGGCTGATTAATCGATAGCCTTTGCCGGGGCAGGGGGGGGGCGGCATTCGCAGTCAACTTTTCACTCCTGCTGAATGAACAAAGGCTGATTAAGACCAGGGGAATGTCCAGGATCGTCTCACAGCCCGCTAAATGGGGAACTAATTAAAAACAGGGCCTTTCGAACAGGAAAAGGCAGCCGCGCTTTATGACGAAAGCCCGTTTTTACCACACTGTCCAGCCAAAGGCTGATTAATCGATAGCCTTTGCCGGGGCAGGGGGGGGGCGGCATTCGCAGTCAACTTTTCACTCCCCTCCCTTAAACAATCAGGAATAATTACATTCCGCAACTGGATCGTCTTTTTCACAGCCCCCTCCCCATAAAGCAAAGGCATGAGGGGACATGGAAGAGCTCCCCAGCTAAGATCCTCCAGACACACAGCTGCTCCTCACGCTTGGATTCCTGTGGCCAAAGGCATACTTTTTCACTCAAAGGCAGCCAAATAACAGCCACGTGCTGCCTTGGATTCCTCAAGGTGAGAGACGGGGGAAGAAATCCTTGCCTGACCAAAGCCAAATCATCTATAAACAATGGTATTACATACATACACACACACACACACACAGGTCACCATTGGTGCAAAATTGCTTTAGGGTCATAGCAACATGGGGGTTACCCTGAAAAGAGTCTGGCGGGGCCTTCAGATGAGAGAATCCCACAGGCTATTTCTGACCACACACAACAGAGCCCTTTCCCCTCCACCTGGGGTAGAAGCTAATGAGGTGCCATCAAGTTGGTGTTGACTCTTAGCAACCACATGGATGGATTTCCTCCATGACCATCCATCCCTAACCAGGTCCTTCAAGTCTTCCGATGGTGCCCCCCTCGCCTCTGTAACTGAGTCCCTCCACCTGGCTGCGGGTCATCCTCTTCTTCTCTTTCCTCCCACCTTTCCCAGCATCAGAGCCTTCTCCAGAGAGCTGGGTCTTCGCATCATGGGTCTGAAGTAGGATGATTTGAGCCTGGCCATTGGTGCCTCGAGTGGGTTGATTTGTTCTAGGATCCATTTATCTGTTTGCTTGGCTCTCTACAATCTTCTCAGGAGTCTTCTCCAACACCAAAGTTCAAAAGCGTCAGTGCTCTGCCTCTCTGCTTCTTCAAAGTTCAACTTGCGCTTCCACAGAGGGTCACAGGGAAGACCATGGCTGGAGGATTCTGATCTTTAGGGTAGGAATACCACCTTTAAAAAGCCTGCCTAAAATAAAAGATAAGCCTGGCCCTTAATGCCCACACAAAGAGGACAGCCAAATATCCAGGGGCAAGACGTTCCAGAGTCTCCATGGATAACCATGGATAACGTCAGAGGGTTGTGAATGGCTGTTCCTACTTTCCTACTTAATGCAGCTTCTTCTAAAAAGAAGGCTTTGTTTTTAATCGATGCTGTAACTTGGTTTTATTTCTGCTCCAATTCCCTTTCTGGCAAGTGTAGGCCAACCCTCATGTTCCAGGACAAACGCCAAAAACGGTTCACATGTAACACTTCAATCTTACATGACAATCTTTTTAAAGGTAAGTTGACTGCTTTTGCCGTAACCGGTAACTAATCTGTTTTTACAATTATCAAATCAACGATGATTAAAATTCTTTACGTTGCCGGCCCTACAGATTCAGGGCGGTGAAATGCCGTCCGTATAAATAGGACTACGTAATGAAGTGCGGTCTGCAGGGCTCCATCCTCTAAAATACTGGGAGCCTCAAGGGGCCAATTGGGAGAAAAGTAAGGGGTTAGCAACAAGAGGCCTCTGTACTGCAGTGGGCCCTGATGTTTGCAGGAGAGTCCCGCAGTTAGCAACCCAAAGGTAAAAGGAAAATGTCTTCTGTGCGGAGGGCTGTTGCGGAGGGCTCCTGGAACCTGGTAGTCCCACGCAGCTGGGTTAGGGAAAAGGCGGCTAAGGACACACGATGCAACTCCCTTACTGAAGTTGGCACAATATTTGGCCCTGGGACTGGAGAACGCAAACCTGCTACACCAAGCCACCCAGCGAGAGGCTGAAGTGGGAGCCGGAGTCAGCCCAAAGCTGGGGGGGGGCACTCTGCAGCCCTTTCTCTCGAGGAAAGACAGCCTGGATTGGGTGAATCCCTCCACTGCGCAGAGATGGGACCCAACTAGCAGCCTTGGGGGCTCACTAGGGAGGTTTCAGTCTCAGCCTGGAAAAACTTGGTCCTGAAGCCTGCTGCTGCATGGTTGGGTGGACTGTGGTCTGACTGGGCAGAAGCGTGTTTCCAGGGGGCCTTTTCTGTCATCTGCTGGAGCTTCTGGCTAAATCCCTGACAGGTTTGAGACTCAGCAGACGGGGATCCTCAAGCTGCTTCCATTTCAGCTCCTCCAAGGTGGTCAGAGCACACGTTGCTGCAGGGTCAGGACACCCTGCCCTCTTCCCCAGCTCTGCTGGTGAGCCATCTCAACTGCAGCGCTCCCAGAAGGTTTTAGGGGCAGTGCTGTTTGGGCATGAAACGGGTCAGTTGGGGGGAGGTATGACGACGTTCATCATCTTTAATACTTGCATTTTTTCCCACTATCAGCCTCAGCCAAAAGAGGTCAGGGATGTTTGCTCAGAAAAGGCAGCGCTGGGCTTCTAGAAACAGAGGTGACGAAGAGACGATGGCTGGGAAGAGGAGGAGGGGCGATGCTCCCACCCACCCACACTCCAATTTCAAATTACTGATTCACTTCAACCAAGAATAGAGGAAGATTTCACGCCAACAGAAACGCTCAGGGCCAAGTTGGAAAAGCCACTTGGTTTTAAAATTGTACAAGGAGAATCCCAGCACAGAGCAGAGCAGGCACGTTCAGGGCCCAAGCTGGTCTTTCACCACCACTGAACCAACTCACTTTTTTTTTTTAAAAAAAAGGGGGGGTGAACACCTGCACAGGCACAGCTACAATCCTCCAGCTAAGCACTGACCATATTAAAGCTGGACCCCTTTCAACAGACAAGGAAGCTAACAGCTTTGGGAAAGCACCCCCCCCAAATCTTCCCTGTAACTCAATTTTAAATAAAGCACCTTCATCAAATGTGGCCTGCCAAAGGGGAAGATTAAATTTGATGAAAAGGAAATCGCCTTCCATCACAGCTGCTGGAGAACGCTGCTTGTTATTTTGAGACATTCCAAACCTGTGGTAGCAGGTTGTTTCCTGTAATTTAAG